GGACCAGATTTAAATTGCCATCCCTACTCTTCCGCCCATATTTAAATTTTAACTTAAATTTGAACAAAAAGTTTATGTGATATGAAAACTGAAAAAGTAAATGGTTCTGAGTAATGATAGACTTGTAAATTTAAAAAGATTTTAAAATTTTTCAATATCTTAGTTTGAGTGAAACTTTGAGAATTTGATTTTTATGTTAAAAAAAAACTAAAAAAAATATTAAATAAATATAAAGTCATCAAAATAAATAAATAAATAAATAAATAATCATACATGCTAATCATTTACTTTTTCTATAAAAAAAAATTTAAAAAATTATTTTCAAATACAACTTTTTTTTACTTCATAAAACAATTACCAAAAAAAAGATTCCAAATGAGGTCTCAATTTAATATAAATTCGAGTCAGGGAAGAAATTCTTTTAACTAATTTTAACTAAAATTTAAATTTCATATAAAATTAAATAAAGAGTTGGAGATGTCTTTGAGAATCTACAATGGAGCTGTTATGGTGTGTTGGTGCAAATTCTAGCAAGAAAAATTACGGTTAGTCAAAAAGAAAAAATATAAGTCGCAATTTATAATTCAATTCCAGCTGAAATAACGCATTTAAGTTATAAACAAACTTGCCGACGTACTTTTTGAACTCATCTCCAGATTTATATGCTTTTGTTTATTCAGATAGTGACGGATTAGAAAGAAGGAAAATTTTGTGGTTTGACATCTTCTAAATAATTTATTTTTTTATTTTTTTTCATTACATTATTTTTTTATATATTTTTTTAAAAAAAGTTAAAATATGTATGTATTTAGATCATTTCAAACAATCGGTCAAAACTTTTTTATTGGATCATTTTTTTAGTGAAAATGACATTCTAAATTATTTTACTTAATATAATTGAGTAAAGACAAAGTAGAAAATATATTTTTTTTATTAGACAACATTACCAAAATAACATGTTACTGTGAATTAGAGTAACATGTTACGGTCAAACAAAATAATATATTACTAGGACTGGGTATATGGTTATCCGAACTGCCCAATCCGCCCAGTCAGAAACTATCTATATACAAATGGGCGGTTTTACAAACACAATGCGGACGGATGCAGTTTGAAATATGGCATGATTGCGGGTTGCGGCGGGTTGCAGGTTTAACCCGCACCAACAAGAACCCGCTCGCACTTTAGACTTTTTGTTTTAAAAAAAAAAAAATATATATTTGGTCCATTGGTATTTTATTATTGTACTTTGGATAAATGTAAAAATTAATGAAGAAAACTGGTAAGCTTAGGATTTTGAATGATTTTATCTGAATTATATTGTTGGGTAGTAGATAGTGAATGAGATTAAAGATCTAGTTTAGGATTTTGAAAAATGTGCTTGTGTTAGTTTATTATTTGATTTAAAAGTTTAGGATTTTGAATGATTTGTTTGTATTAAAAATTGATTTTGTTGTATTTTTAATTTTATAAATTTTAATTAATTAATTATTAATGTTGGAGTATTTTAGAAAATGGAGGAAAAATTATCCATAATAAATATTTACAAAATGAAAAAAAAAAAAATAAATTTTTTTAAAAAAAATCCAATCCACAAACCGTCCGTACATCCACGAACCCTATCTGCACAAACCGCAATTCGCACTACGGGCGGTTGCAGGTTGAATTTTTTCCAAACAGCATACATGCGGGTGGGTCCAAACCGATTCGCAAAGCGTCCAAAATCGAACCACGACCACCCCTACATATTACTGTTACTGTTACTATTTACATCAATTTCAACAGTAATATTTATTTATTTATTTTAAGTATTTCATAGTCAACATAAATCTTATTTGATAGATTTTAATGAGAGAATTTTAAAAACACTAATTTTATTAAAAATTGATATTTACATTAAAAATTATATTATTTTAAAATTTAGTATTTTAATAATAATAATATTTATATGACTTTTTTTTAAAAAAAATTTACACTTACTTTTAACATATTAAAATTTTCAACAATGCTAGAGGGTCACAATTTTTGTGACCACAATGGCTCAAAACTGTCAAAATGATGTCGTTTTAACATGTTTTGCATCCAAAACGATATCATTTTAACAATTTTGAGTCATTATGACCACAAAATTATGCCCCTCAAACATTTTTCTAAAATTTTATTATAAAAGAGTTTTAATCAAATCTCCCCGAACAAGATTACAAAGCAACAGGGCTCTTCCCAAGGGTGAGTACCGAAAATTGATCTCGAACTTCTTCCATTCACATTTGCCAAGAGTCGCAACTCATAGCCATTCGAGCCAATTTATGAGCCAATATCCTTCCGATAGACATGTGTAACTTTAAGGTTGCGTTTGGCAAAATTTTATAATTATGATTTGAGAGTATGAGTTGTATTTTGAGTTTGTGAGGTTTAGAATTATGATTTGAGTGTGAAAAATTTGTTTGGTAAAGAATATTGAAAATAGTTTTGAAATGAGTTTTGAATTGAGTGGGGAATTGTTGATGTGACATTTGATATTTGATACAAAAATTTACAACTCATAACCAACCATACAACTCAAAATTATTTTAAAGCACATAATTTTTTTTTTAAAATTCAAAGAATATTTTTTTTGAATATATAAAAATTAACATATCAATTTCAAAAAAAAAAAATTCACTGTTTCGGTTAACCGGCCGGAAGACCAGTTAGGCCAAATTTCAAAAAAAAAAAAAATTGAAAATCGCGCTCTATTTGATAGAGTAAACAGAGCTTTCTGCAGAGTTGTGGAAAATTATTTCCACAACTCTATCCAAACATCATACTCAACCTACCAAGTGAAAAACTAGTTTGAAAACGGTTCCAAACAGAGCCTAAATCTCTAAAATTGTCGACTCATCTCTTATCATATATTTGAAACAGTTAATTCATATTAAAGAGAATTGTTCAGGCTTATAAAACTTATTACAGGTTTCATTTTAATAATTTAAATCGTTCAATCTATCAAATCCAGTGTGCATGTCATGCATAAAAAATAAAAATAAAAAATCGAGTTATCCAATATTTGTAACCCCATTATTTTATAAAATTTGTCTCCAAAAAAAATTAACGATCAGTGTATTTTAAAAACAAACCATCCATTCTTTTTAGTACAAAATTTATAAAAGAGAGAGATTACGAATATCGGTTTGACTTAATTTTTTTTACAGATAATATACACAGAGTCTGATAAAATGAACTATTCAAATAATTGAAACACGACCCATAATGGTCTTTACAAGTCTGAACAATCATCTTCAATTCATATGAGGACTGGAAAGAAGCCTTACCCTATCTAAAATTTACCACGAGCTAAAGGGATTATTACTCGACAACTATGTCAAAAAAAAAAAAAAATACAAATTCATGAAAAAGTTTACAAATTTAATTATTAATCTTTATAAAATTTCTTGTTAATTAATAATTTTTTTTAAATGATATTCCCCCCGAGCTAAACATGATTTACCACCATCTTAAAATTTACCAAGTTTATCACTGTGGGTGAATCAATTATTTACACTACTTACATCATATTTTGATACAAACTTATATAAATAAAAGTTAAAATGTTTAACTATTTATTGCTTTGATAAATTTCTCTGAATTATTAGTATTAAATAATTATTTTACAAACACAAAATATATTTGAAGTTTCAAAATTTTCTTATTATCGTATAAAAAAAAAGACTTAACACTCATAAATAAATAAATCTAATTAATAAAACTTTTTAATAATTATATCTAATTAAAAGAGTTGCTTTGAATAATTAGTTAAAAGTTGATTTTTTAATTTTTTTAATTTTTTTTTTTTAAAAAAAGGTATAAAAAAATAAAAATAAAAAATATAACTCAAAATAAGGTAAAAATTAAAATTTAATTTTTAACCAAGCATTGGCCACAATGATTATGAGCAGGTTGTGCATTAATCATTCAATAGTGAAACAAATATAAGTAACAACTTGTCGTTTTGTCCCCACCAAACAAGACCCCATCAAATTCCAAGAAGCCATTAACAATAATGAAACCAATAAACTGTTACTTTTGTTTTATATGATATTGCCATCCTGTGAAGAAAGTATCTAAAAAAGATTAACAATTATTAAAGAGAGACCATCTACAAGTTGATAGATGATATGTTATACATATAGAAAGCTTAGAGATTAATCAAACTGTTACTTTTGTGTTATTCTTTGGCCATTGTTATGATCACCCTCTAGCTTTATGTATTTATAATTATAGAGTTTTACAGCAATCAAATTAATATAGATTACTTTGATATCCCCCTTGTATTTAATCAGCAAAATCATTTGTTGAATAATTTTATATGTACCAATTAATGTATTAACTAGTATACTAACAGATGATGTGTCATAATTTTTTAAGTTTTGGATATTTATAATTTGTATAATAGGTGGAATCAGTAATAATGACATAACACTAATTGGTATACTAGTGTGTACATTAATTAATGTATGTAGCACCGCCGTTATTTTTTATTGTAACGAAATTTTTACAGAATTTTATAAATTTAGTTCTAATCAGTTAGTGCAAAATGAAAATGAGCAAGGGATAAAGAGTAGGTCTGAAAGCACGGATAAATCTTACAATATTAGGTATAAATATAAGATAAAGAATGGTTCACTACAAGGAATTAAGATTTTAAAGAAAAAAGTTTAGAAATAAAATCACTTTTTAATAATGAAATATTTTAATTGCCAAAAAAATTTATTGTTGTATTTTTAGTACAAAATTAAACATTAGTGATGAATTACAAAATTTTGTAACCAATTTTTTTTGTCAAAAAAATAAATACTTTTTGCACTAAATTGTTTTGTTCTTAAAAATATATTTATTAGCGACCTTTTCAAAATTGTTTGTAAAAAATATTTTTTAACTTTTCGGAATGACTTTTTAGCCATGACAAAAATTGATCTTCAAATATTTTTTACAACAAAATTTACTTTTGGGGGAAAAAAAAGTTTAATCCATAAAACCCTTATAAATTGTAGGTCTTGCATATGCTAGACTCCACATGTGAGTCTCATTCTTTGTCTCATATTTGTATCTCATCCTATGAAAATCTTCGGTGTTCAGAATAGAACTTTTGATAACATAATCATGTAATAAACAAAACATGAGCATGGTTCAATAAAGTTGCAACCACAAGTTTATAATGCAAAATAGCTGTACTTGTCTTCATTTGGAGGCTGAGAAAGAGATGTCAACACCACAAAGGCACCAAACAATATTGTCACAATGGCAGTGAAGTTGACAAGGAATGCCTCAGAGCCATATTTGGCAAGTCCAGAGCTCTCAAGGAATGTCAGCTTCTCAAGAAACCCCAAAGCAGCATTGCCAATAGCCAAGATGTAAACAAATAGCCCAAATAGCACATGCCATGGTAGTGATTCTCTTCTTACTGAAGCTGTTCCACCAGGGTAGAAGAACACAATGAATCCATATATCCACTGCATTTTTTCTTCCACAAATTAGCCAAAAGTTCCAACAAAAAAAGAAGAAAAAAATTCTTGAAATATAATTAGGTAGAGCTTATCAAATTTTAATAATTTATGATATGACACCATGTATGACATTAATCATATTTCACATGACATTATTAGTGTTGGTGCTTTCTAAGTAACTCAAATGATATATCCAAATGGGGGTACTTCAAGGAAAATAATTTACAAATAAAGTGTATAGAAAGTTATAGAAAATCTGATCAGAATCATTCAAAAGTGACATTTTTAAAATTAAAAAAAAAAAAAAAATCACTCTTAGAGCATCTCCATTCAACCCTTAAAAAAATTGTATGTCAATTTTTTTAAGTGTCAAATTGGTATATAAATTTGACATATATAAAAAAAACAAATCCTTCTGATATGCTAAATTTATTATTTTATTGCTTTAACTTTAATTTATCATTAAAATAATGAAAAGAAAGACATTTGACATATTTTTTATATGCCAAATTGACAACCCACTTTTAAAGATTCAGGCGGAGTACAATTGGATGTCAAATTCTATTGTCAAAAGTGCCGCCTCAAAATTTACAATTCAAGTGGAAATGCTCTAAAACTCGCCAAATTCTTGACCTCAACACCCAAGCTTTCAAAAAAAATTTGACACACCAAATTTTGAAGATTTGGGTGGAGATACAATAAGTTTTTTTTTTGTTTAAAATAAATAGATATAAAATTTTCATATTATTCTATATAATTTTTTTTTTCCCTATTCATATAATATTACTTGATAGTTTAAACGTGTATTGATCACCTTAGGATTAATTTGGGTTGTCCTTATTATATGATTTTAAACCAATAAACTCATAGTATGAGTTAGAACTCAAGTCAAAAGCCAATTTCCAATTCCATCAATCAATAGAGCCATCCTAGGTTATTCTAAAGGCCCATTTCTTCACAGACAATCTAGGGTCGGATAGTAATTACCTGAACACCATAGAGAACAATAATTCCGATACCAAGCCAGGAATGTAAACTGTAGAGATTGGCAATACCACTCTCATTATGATATTTGAATGCAGCATAAACACCCACTATCCCCAATATCAGTGCAATTGAATGAAGAACTAGATGGATCAGTTTCTTCACTTCTTTCTTCAATGGAAGAGCTTTATAACTGATAATGGCTGCATTTGAAGAGAAAAAAAGAATAAAAAAACTACTCTGAAAAATTCAAGTTCAAGAATTGTAGCAACTATGGAACTATAAATAAATTATTAATTACCTTCGCCTCCGATAATAATTAGGCCAATCAAAATCAGAACAGGATGAATCTGTATTGACAAAAAAAGAAAAGAAAAGAAGATTCACAAAATTAATATGGGGAAAACTTGATTAATTGCAGTTGTTAGTATTTTAGAGAAATATGTTACATGCACTCGGAATATGAATATCAAGTGAGTGTGCGCCTAAACGTATACATTTCCAAATCTAGATATTGAGAATTTGAGTCCAAAACTTATGAGTACAAGACGACACAATAAATTGTTATATATATCTTACATATTATATAGTATTTTTAGATAAGATGTAATTTATTTATAAAGGTAATGAAATTTAAGAAAAATATGTAAGCATTTTGGGGAAAAGAAAGCTTACTTTTCAAGGATATTAGATGGAAATTATATTTGCACACACTTATTTACCCCGATGCATATCATTTTTTCAGTACACACACTTATAAATTTGATTAAGTATTATTTGTCTCATTCCACACACCACATATTCTAATCATAACTCTTAACTCAAATTTTATACACGCACTTTCCACCCAAACACACCCACACAGACTCATCAACAAAGAAATCAGGTTTTTTCTGCACTTGAATAGAAGGAAAATTAGCTATTCTTTCTATAACTACACCAATCGCAGAGACCCCAGCACCACAATATGCAGCCTCTGCTATTGATACACCCTTGAAAAACATATTCACTAAAATATCATCAAGATTGTTCTCTAAACCTTCCTTTGCGGTTTCTTCCCTCTCCTTCAATCAGGGCCGGCCCTTGCCTAAGGCCAATAAGGCTTGTGCCTTAGGCCCCACAATTTTGGCCCAAAAAAAAAGACCTCCAAGCCCCAAAATATTTTTTTGGCCATGTTTGGTTTAGTCCATATTTATGTGGTTTGACCCATATTTATTAAAATAAAAATATATAAAAAACAAAAAAAAAACAAACAAATAAAGTGTTTGGGCCCAACCCAACCCAAACCATACATACAATATACAGCATTTTTCACTTAATATATGAAAGTAAATTTTAGTTTATAATTTTAATAATTATATGTGCAAGTATACTTAAATAAAAAATTTGTGAATACTTATCATTTTAATTATAAATTTTTTATTAAAAAAAATATATTAGAGGGACCGCATTTTCATAGTTCGCCTTAGGCCTCACAAATCTCAGGGCCGCCCTGCCTTCAATTCGTCTTCATCTTCGTAATAGCTCTGGAAATCTTCTTCATCTTCTTCTAATTTCACTTCCCTAGATGAATTCACATAAGACCCACAACCAAAAATTACTTGCTCTTCCATTTTCACCAACTTCCCCAGGAATCAACAACAATTTTATTTATTTATTTATTTTGACATGCCAAATTCTAGGGATGTTCCAACTCTTGTTTTTCAAATCAAAATCTAAGAAAAACCCATAAAAAAACTAGATGTAAAACTCCAAAGTATGATAAGACAACCAAAAGGCTAATCTTAAGAATTCAAAGGATTTGTGGGTTTGTTTGTTGTTTTTTTTTTTTAGAACAGTAGGTTTGTTTGTTTTTTTTGAGAACGATGAAATCACCATTGATTAATAAGCAAGATAACAACATTACAAGTTATAGTAAACATGAGTACAAATAAAAAAAGAATAAACAAGCACCACCAAAAGAGTCCCTAGCCTGGTCCAAAAGCTCGACGCCGAGGTGGCTTGAAAAGACTGGGATGAGAGTAGGAATCTTCAATTCGTGGCTCCCGCTTGCGTTTACCAGCAGCAATGTCGAAGATCAATTTAGAGGATTTAGGACGACGAGGTATGGGAGCACGAATTCTTTTTGACCGACCTACACTACAAAACATAAAATTATCAGACAAAGAAGTTTTTCCAGAAGTCGGTTCTTGCTCCTCCATTTCACAATCACTAATAACCGAGGAAGGCGGTTGAAGAGTTGGCAAATTTGGTGGTGATGGTTGTAGTGGCTCTTCACAAGATTGGGAAGGAGTAGGTAGAACGTCCAGGGATGGGGCCTCCATCTCAATATCCACTACTGCAGCTTGTAGAATTGGGTCAGAGTATCCACGAATGCGAACTTCAACAACCGACAAACTCTGTCGGTGTAAAAACCGAAAGGGTCCACCGGATTGAAGAGCCTGACACGAGTTACGATCAATGAGGAGAAAATCCTTGCCCAAATGCACTCTTCTTGGACGCTTGACCTTCGGTGGGGGCTTATTAGCCTTGTTGAGCGAAGTACCATACACATCAACCTCACTATTCTTACTGCAACCAAACCCACTGTGAGGCCCCTCTCTGATGACATTGCCACAAACCCACCCTGCTCCATTTCCTGGTCCATGATCCTTACACGGAGAATGACCACCCGGTTCAACAGCAACACCAGTATTAGAAGACCCAGGTTGTTCACGGCCTTTTGGCAGTGGAAAGATTGTATCATCCAAGCTCACTTTAGGCTGTAGATGTTCCAAAGCAGCATCCCAATCAAATTGAAAATCATCACCCAGAGAATCCTGAATTAGAGCCATGTCCAACGGGTCCAAAACGAATAATAAGTCAGGGGATAAGGAACCCTGCAACTTATCATGAGCACAAGCCCCTGACATGACAATACCTTTGCCTTTCTCTTCTTTGGAAAGACGTTTGGGGACCACTTTAGAATTAAGTAAATAGCCTTGCTTGAGCATTGTTCCAAGCACCCAGCAAAGTGTAATTGAAAGCTCACCAGAAAAATCCTTAGAAAACGAGTGGTCTCGCCGTGAAACACCTGATCCACGAAGCGGAAACAAGCCGCAGAAATCGCCGGAAAACACAAAAGAGGACAGCAACTAGACCACCGGAATCCCACCGGAAAACACCTATAAAAGCAGATTAAACCCAGATCTACCAACGAGACCGAGGGGAGGGGAAACCAAGTCAACGCCAAAAAAGAAACCCAGATCGACTGGATTGAAGCACTGTCGGCACAGAAATTGACCTTCAATAGGTCCCCCTCCCCCCTACGCGGAACGAATCAGAAGAAAAGAAGAGAGAAAAACAAGATTTGAAGCTCGCCGGAAATCGCCGAAAACTGCACGAGTACTAAATATATGGATGACTACTAATGACAGGTTTTTTTTGTAGGTTTGTTTGTTGTTGTTGGTGGTAAATAGAGAGAGGGAGAGAGGAGAGATGAGATAGGATGAGTTGATTAGAGTTTTGATGTCTATTATGATCATTTTATTTTAAGATATAATTGTCACTAAAATAAAATTTTATTAAGTGTATGCACTAAGATAAATAGGTGTGTGAAAATAGAATTTCCCGATATTAGATTATTCGAGAAAAGGAATAGTATTTTGGGTAAACTATCAATAAGTCTTAATATTTGGACTTAATTCCCATCAAACTCTATTGAAAATAAATCCTAACGAAATTGTTGCTAGAAATAATTTTTTGTGATTATTTTTTGCATGTCGCTAAAAATTGACAATTAGTGATTTTTTTGTCATAATTTTTACAAATTGTCACTAAAACTTATAATTAGTGATGTTTTTCTATGACAAAATTTTCAAAATATCGTTAAAAGTTAAAAATTAGTGATTTTTTTGTGACGATTTTTTAAATTGTTGCTAAAAATTAACAATTAGTAATATTTTTAAATAGTATTTGATAAAAACACCATTAATTATCATAAAATCTATTAAATAATAAGTTTACTTATTAAGCGATCTAGGATAAACTATCAATAAATCTTAATAGTTAAACTTAATTCTCATAAAATCCTATTAAAAATAAGTTCTAATAAAATCGTCGTCAAAAATAATTTTTTTGTGATATTTTTTTCATATGTTGCTAAATATTGATAATTAGTTAATTTTTTTGTCACGATTTTTATAAATTATTGCTAAAATTTACAATTATTGACTTTTTTTGTGACAAATTTTTCAAACTATCGCTGAAAATTATAACTTAGTGAATTTTTTTTTGTGACGATATTTTATTAAACTGTCGCTAAAATTTATAACAAGTAACAGTTTTTGTGACAAAATTTTCAAACTATCACTAAAAATTAACAATTAATGACTTTTTAAATACAGTGGTGCTACGTGCACCAATTAGTGTACTAACTAATATATCAATACTAATTATGATATTATTCTTAACCCCACTCATTAATCACATTACAAATCCCAAAAACCTTTTAAATTATGTCATATTATCAATTGGTACACTAATTAGTACACTAATTGATGCATATAGCATTATTCTTTTAAATAATGTTCAATCAAAAATATCATTAATTATCATAAGACTTATTAAATAATAAATTAATTTATTAAGACCTGCATATAAATCTCCCTTCTATACAGAAGTCTTCTAATATTTGAATTCGTTTGGGATGTAAGTTGGCCTTTTGGCTAAATGACTATTTTAGCCTAGAACTAAAAATCTTTATTTGTGATAGACTTCTTGACTTTTTTAACTTTTATAAAAGAAAAAATAAAATAAGTATAATTTGAACATGACGTTTTGTCTTATTAATTTTTTAATTTATTTTATCTTTTTATAATTAAAATAACAAAAAAAAAATTAAAAACTTTGACCTGCCGAATGAAGGCTTTACGTGTTACCGAACAAAACGTTCATAATAAGCTGACAACATTAGCTACATGTGGGCAAGCACGTGACTCATTAATAGCCCACAAAATAAGGATAAGAACACAACCCAACGTGTGTGACAGTGCGATGAGGCTACATACCGGAAATGGTAGGTAGCATAATAGAGTAACAAAGTGGAATACTTTTTGAAAAATGCTTGGGAGCACTAATTAGTGCTCCCACTAATTAGGTGGCAGTGGGTCCCGCCAGTAGTGATGTGATGTTTTGGTCTTGGAGTTAAAATGTCAAAAAAATTATGTCATTAATTAAAAAAAATTAAATATCACATTAAGTTTCTTGTTCAAAAAACTTAAAAATAAAATAATCATTGCAGCTTCTCAAACATAATTTTTTCAACTTTCTAAAAAATTTAAAAAATCATTAAAGAAATTAATCCTAAATGAAACCTAAAACTAGCCCAAAATATAGTTAAATATTGTATAAATACACATATAAACAATACAAAATATATATTTTGATATAAAAGAGATGACAACCTATTTTTCTATCATATATATATATATATATATATATATATTTTGTTTCCAAAAATTAATTGTTAGTTGCTATATTATTATTTTTAATATCTATCAGAGTTACCATCCTCACCCCTTGCAAAATAACAAGTGTTTGCATCTTAATTCAACTCTCCTTAAAGATATTTGAACCCATAACCTCCGAGACTAAATCCATAAGAGTATGAATTAAAACTTGGGGTAATTCTAATATACATAAACACTTGAAAAGAGTATACCATATCTACTCTTCATTATGTTATTTTATTCTTTAATTATGATCAAGGAGCATTTTGGAAATGGTTAAAACTTAAGGTAATTCTAATATACACACACTTGAAAAGAGTATACTATATTCACCCTTAGTTATGTTTTTTTTTTTTTTTTTTTTAATTATGATTAAGGAGTGTTTTAAGAAGATGGAGTTAACTTTTAACCAAGTTTTTTGTCTTTCATAGAAAGTGATTTGGAAAGTTAATAAAAAGCTATTTTTGACTTTTTTTTGTTGTTAACATTTGTCTATGATATTACATCACAATAAAATGACCAAACTCCCCCATCTATTTTCAAAAATTTGTATTTTCACCCATGTATAACCATAAACAATGTGGAAGGTATAATTGTAATTTCACAGATAGCTTTTTTAGACCTCCTCAAATGACTTTTATGTTAAAAAAGCCAATCTAGCTTTTTTGGACAAGCTACAAAACACAACTTTTAACCAAGTTTCCAAATGAACACTTCTTCTTTAGTTATGACTCATGACTTTTTTAGTTATATCTTATGTTGTGTTTAGTTATGATATTTTTTGAATTATAATTTAGAAAATATAAATTATGTCATTTTTTTTTTAGTTATAATGTGCATATAGTATATATTATTTAAAGAGCGTGTACCATAATATTTCTCTAAAACTTATGAATGAAAACATGACTATATTATATGAACTAAATTTTTAAATAAACACATTAATATAATTAAAAACAAGTGCAATTTACGTAATCAAAATTTACATTGAATACTTGTTTGTTAGTATTTCAAAATTTGGTAGCTAAATTTGATCGTCAAAACCTTAACCCTACTACAAGCAAACTCATGGTTACGTATACAATTCTCACTCCTTGTTTTTGGGTAGACAATTCTCCCAAACAAACTCACCTTGCCATGTCCATTTCCACCCACGAAAGCAGTGACGTAAGCAATATTAGTAAAATGAATCAAATTGAATCAAACAGTGAACAGTCATGTGCTCAGCCAACTCTAACCAACTAACCCAGCCAGCCCTCATTCAAAATATAAATAATAAATAAATGAATGACACATAAAAGGTCTATTTTGAAAAGTAAATTAATTTTTTAATTTTTTTATCATAAAAATGTGTATAAAAAGTAAAGAAATAATAATATGATTTAAAAAAATTAAAAGGTCAAAAAAATAATTTTTAACTCAGTTATCAAAATAAGCCTTAATATATATATATATATATATAAAATAATTATCAACTCCAGATTAATTGTAATTGAAGTATTAGATCTCAATACCAATTACCAAGAATCCTCTAGAGTGTTTTTTTCCTAAAGTTTTTAAAGTGGTGTATTGTGTGGTTGAGATTTAATGCTGAAAAATTGATGTGACTTGTCATTAAATCTCAACCACACAATGCACCACTCTAACAAATTTTAAGAAAAAAAAAACTCTAGAGGATCCAATACAATACCCACCTTTCATGTCAAATTAACATATACCAATTATTATTTAAGCCTTCAAAAAAATTTGATATATCAAATTTTAAAAATTTGAATAGAGATGCTCTTATGTCCTAATTTATTTTTATTTTTATTTTAATCTTTTATGTTATAAATTCTGTGCATAACACGGACACTATGCTAATACCCATTATGAAGAAAGAAGAAATGCACCACCCCCTTCTGATTTTTAATCTCATAGATATTGATTCATTAAAATTACTTCCCAGAAAAAATAAAAAATGAAATCAAACAAAAAATGTTTACAGATATATAAAAAGAAGAAGAGAGACGGATAAAGGGGGGAGCGCTTACATTGAAGATGAGGCTTTTGTTGGAGGAATCCCAGGCTAAGCCACCCCTAAAGTGAATGCACCAGACCAACACCATAACCGCACCTGCTATCCCCAGTACGTGCGCCACTACTGACAGCGCCATTGCCTTAACCCCTATCATCTCTCTCTCTCTCAACAATATACAGAAGAGAGGAATGATGTATAAGGAAGGAGGAGTTGACCTGCTCTTCTATTATTGTTATCTTTTAGATTTAAAATCCTATTTTACATATTTTTTTATTCAATTGGAATAGAATTACATAAAATATTAAAAAATGTCCAAACATTCATTATTGAAAATATTATTAAAATACTTAATTAATATTTCATTAAATCGATTATTTGTGTCAATTTCATATTTTGTAAATTTTACACTATCCTAATATGTTTAATAATCACGCTATCAATTTTTTTCATATTTAATCCTAACCCGTTAACTTTGAATACAGTTTGAATCATATTAAAAAATTTCACCATTATTTCAATCAATATAATGGTTGCATTTAAAATAATAAACGAAATATAGCATATAATTGTAATCAACATAGTTTTTCAAGTTCAAATAATATTTATAATATTAATGTGCTGTCAATAAAAAACCAAAGTATTAAAAAAAGTTGAAATTTCACTACAATCGTAACATATTCAACTTCTTTTATTCCCCTTTTTTTTTAACATTTTTTTTACATTTTAACACACTTATTATACATCTCCAAATAACTGTCATCATTATTTTCCTATTATTAATACACCCAAAAAAAAAAAAAAATTAATGGGCTCACATAATTTGTGAATTGATGAAAATTATTAAAATGTTGCTCCAATTTAAGGTAAATTACCGATAATTTAATAATTGAACTTAATTTCCATCAAATTCTATTAAAAATAAGTCATAATAAAATTATCATTAAAAATAATTTTTTGTGATATTTTTTGCATATATCGTTAAAAGTTGATAATTAAAGACTCTTTTCTCACGATTTTTATAAATTGTAACTTAAGCTTATAATTAGTGACATTTTTTTATGACGATTTTTTCAAGTTGTCACTAAGTTAAAAATTAGCGACATTTTTTTATGATAATTTTTTTAAACTATCGTTAAAACTTATAATTAGTGATATTTTTAGTGATAAATTTTTTAAATTATTGTTAAAAATTAACGATTAGTGACTTTTTTTTTAATAATATTTGATAAAAAAAAAACACTATTAATTCTAGTTGGATGCCTACATATTCCGGGCTTCTTGTCATTTTTTCCACCTTCGCATTTTGTAATCATTTGGTTCGGATGCCGTGAAACGGCCCAAGCCCTCCTGGCCTTTGGGCTTTCGGCCAACCTCAATGAAACTTAGGCTGGGCCTTGACCTGTGTATTAGAGTTTGATCTGTCTATTAGCCCATGAAATGCCACCCCCTAGACGGCCCGTTAGCCCAGCAAATTCTAAATATTTGCCCTTAAAAACTGACTTGTAATTAGGGGGTCGTGAAATGGCCCATGGACAAAAAATCGGATATTATTCGACCACCTAACCCATTACATGCCGTCCCAACGCGCTTAATTATCTAGCCTGTCCCATTAGATCATTTAGGATTTTGGACAAAGATTTAAAACCCAAACCCACCCATACAAGCACGCATGGGTGAATCCAATTCGACCATCCCACAAGCTCGACTCAAACTATCTTGTCCAAATTTTTTTTAATATTATCCAAAAAATAGCACTGTTAAATTTAATTTTAATTCATTAAAATCAATACTGTTCCATTTAAAAAAAAATTAAAAAAAAAATTGATAACCCATATTATCCTTGTAAATTGTACTTTTAAAGAAAAATATATAACACAATTTGTTAAAATTGAATCTGATAATGACCGGTGAATCTTCCTAACTTTCAACTTTTTACATATAACATTGTTATAATTTGTTAATTTGATGAATTTATATTTTAATTTGATTATTTTAATAGTATTAATTAATTTGATCATTAAAAAAGAAAAAATAAATGTGTATCACTTAATAAAAAATGTATAATTCAGTCCAGTTTAATTTTGGCCCATACAATTTGAATTTATAAGTAGGACATGATTTTAATTTTTTTAAATAAACTCGTCTTGTATTAACCTGTCGACTAGTCAAAACCTAAAAAATCATTATTAGATGGTACGTGGACACAATAGTTATAGGCCAGGTAAGCCCAACCCGTCCCATTGATGTCCCCTAACTTTATTCTTATGATCCAACATAAAATTATAAGTCTCACATTTTCTATTAATTACAATATTTATAGAATACCACCTGGTCATGCCTAGGATAGAGGTTATCAAATGGCCCACAGACAAAAAAAATCAGTATTACCTAACCTATCCCATGACCCATCCCAATCCGCTTGACTGCCCAACCCGTCTTATCCCATATAAAATCATTTAGGATTTTAAACAAATATTTAAAACCCGAGCCCGCCCATGAACCCAGCCCATACAAGCCTGTATAGGTAAATCTAGCCCGACCATCCCATCAGCCCGACTCAAACTATAACGTTCAAAAAAATAACATTGTTAAAATCAATTTTAATCCATTAAAATTAATATTGCTCCATTTAAAAAAAAAATAACATTTGAAAGTTCATATTATCTTTCTAAATTATACTTTAAAAAATACACAAAATACAATTTGTTAAAATTAAATTTGATAGTGACCAATGACATCTTCCGAACTCTGAGCATAATTTGTTAATTTTGTGAATTTATACTTTAATTTAATTGTTTTAATAGTATTAATTAATTTAATCACATGAATTATTAAAAAAAAAATTGTGTATAACTTAATAATATAAGTATAATAAAAAAAATATGTAATCCAGTTCAATTTGATTTTAACCCGTCAAATTTGAATTTATAGGTAAAACATACTTTTAAGTTTTTTTTATATAAATGCGACTTGTACCAACCCATTAACTAATTAAAATCCAAACAATCTATTAATATATCAAACGTGGATATAATAATTGTGAGCTAGATGAGCCCTATCCCATTGATCACCCTACTTGTAATGGGTCAACCCCCTTCTCCGGTTAAAAAGGTTGAATCCAACCACGTACTCAACATGATGGTTGACTTTGATACCAAAACTCTGCTAATTTATTTTTTAAATATTTTTAAAAACTAATTTGATGAAAAAATAAAAAAAATTATAATAAAATATTTATTACTTTCATATGATTGTCCCCTCTTTGGGATGGAAATAATGTTTGAAAATTAAAAATATTTGTTTTAGTATTTATTTCTGCCAAATTAGCTTCTAACTTTTTACAAAAAATAAAAAATAAAAAAATAAAAAAAAAATCTAAGAATTTAACCAAGCAAATTCATATTATTTCTTAAGGTTATTTTGAATCATGAATTTTGGTATGGATTTAAAAAAGAAAAAGAAAAAAAGTGAATGAAATGTAAATAAATATTTTATTTATATATATATTTTTTCCTTTTCAACTCAATATCCGAATCTATAACCTAAACAGAGTCTAAATATAACTTACCCTTAGAACCTAGTTTGCAAGGGGCGCATAATAGGGCATATTGACACATTACCAACACTAACTAGACCTAAAAAATTTGCGCCAAATTAGGTAAGGCATAAAAACTCAGGTCAGCTGTTGACATCCACCTCACCACCCAAGAGTGATCAATTCATCAACAGATCCAGCTCAAAATAAATAATTAAAATGAGATTTCCCACACAAAAAATTTAATACAAGATCACAAGATGCGTATGTATGAGAGAGGAGCACATGGTTTCACGTGTTTTTACACATTTACAAATGAATTTTTGCAGAGGGTATTTGATTACCAACAAGCTACTCAATCATGGACAGAGAGCACTACTACTAGTTGCATTGCACTGCATTGCATTGCATTGCTGGAAGAGACATTGTGAGGCTGTGTTTCTTCATGGGTCAGATTTGTAAAGGGAGTTTGGTCCACCATTAATAATGTCTTATCACGTATATTGAAGTCCAGAGACATCAATATGGTTGTACCTTCAACTACCTTGCACTACCGTGTAAGGTGGTCCAGCCTTGGTTGTTAAATTATAATTGTCATAGCAATAATGTTCCATTAAAAAAAACACTAATCCCATGGAACTGCTATCAGATTCACTATTCCAAAACCTAGATCTTGACTCAACGGTTGACAACTGGGTATTAACAAAAGCCAAAGCCACAGTTTGGACTAAAAAAGTTTCATTATTTGCGAGTAAAAAGGGCGACTACGTGCACGAGATTTGCGTTAAAACATGGTCTAGGAAGGACAAAATGTACGCAGTCTTATTCCTATTTCTGGAGACAATTTACGTGATTTGAATCCGCGCTACCTAGGATGCTAACAACAAGCCTTACCATTGATTTTCCACATCAAAATAGACTTTTCTCACTGTTCGTTGTTATTGGAGCTTTACACTCAATGCCTAGGTTTATCAAGTTTGGGGGAAGCAAGCAAAGAACAAAGTTTGACTTTCTTTTTTCTCTTTTCTCTCTTTTTTTTTCTTTTTTTTTTTTTCATGTCCAGTGAAGATATGTCATAGAAGCAAAGTATAGAAGTGTAGAGTGATCTACTTTACTTAAAGCTATAAAGTATGAACTCGAGCCACAAGCCAGCAAATAAGAAAAATCTTATAGGATCTAGAGCTATTCTTCTGAATAAATTATTTATGTTATCTATTTTTTCTTATATTATATGATTCTCTTGCATTTTAATTAGAATCCCCACTTCTAGCTCCCAAACTAGCATCTGATTCTTTAACTAGTTAGATTTGACACACCTGACAGCCTGTTTGCCACTTTCACACCAGTTTTCATTGTCAATATCACAAGAAACACCTAATATGTTTAGCAATCAAAACCACATATTCATCATTCCTGTTTGATGTCTCAATGAAGTAAAAGTGACACTGTTTCAGAAGAATTGAGAGCTTTAGTTTGATCAAAGATGTTCAAGCCAGGAAGATGGAGAAGCGAGAAGAAAATCAAAGCCGTGTTCATGTTGCAGTTTCAGGCAACTCAGGTATATATATACTAAGATGACAAACTAAGAGCAAATCATCACATTTCCTACAACTAAACTGAAATATTTGACTATATAAGTGTTAATCAATATACAAAAAATGAAAAGTAGATAATATTTATCTGGTTTGTGAACTGTACCGTTTACAGGTGCCACAATTGAAAGCAAAAACACTGACAATATCTCTGGTTCCCGCGGATGTTGGAAAGCCGACGGTGAGATTAGAGAAAGCTGCCATTGTGGATGGAACCTGTTGTTGGGATAATCCTGTGTATGAAACAGTGAAATTAATCAAGGAGCTGAAAACAGGAAAATTCAATGAGAAATTTTATCATTTCATTGTAACAACTGTAAGATATGACCACAAGTTTTACAGGTTTACTCCTTCAGACTTTGTTCCCATAGATGTCTTCTGAAACTTTGAAATCTTGCAGGGATCGTCAAAATCAGGTCTCCTGGGAGAAGTCTCGATTAATTTTGCAGATTACGCAGAGGCAGCTAAACCTTCAATAGTCTCCCTACCCCTCAAGACTTCAAACTATGCAGGAAATGGAGCAATTTTGCATGTTAGTCCCTCTCTCATACACAATATTTCTTCTGATATGTGTCTTGATAGAGTTATTCAAATGATTTAGATCACCCAAAAGTTACCTAGGAAAAAATGCAATGTCATACGTAATACATTAATACAAAGCAAGCAAATTGCAAGATTTTTCACTCTCATATATGAAGGTATAATTGGACAGGTCACAATTCACAATATGCAGGGCTCTAATGATCAAAGGTGAGATAAAATATTACCACTCAGTTCAACTTTGCATTTATTTATTTTATTTATTTCCTTTTTTCACATGTTCATAAAACAATGAGCTAGTATCTTTCTTCATGTGAATCTTCAGAGACAATGATGAAGGTGAAACGCCAACAACCAAGTCACATGATAGGAGCTTGAAGAATAATTTAAGGAACAATGATAGAAACGGAAACAGCAACATCAATTTTACTGAAGTAATGTCTCTCACATCATTAACCTTTTCACTTTTCAATTTGCAGCAGCAGACAAAGTTGCAATGAAATGTTTCTTGACTGTTCTACAGGATGATTACATCAATTACCTCACATCAGAGGAGTGTGAACACAATGCGAGCTTAAAAAATCTTCTTGTGGAAAATCCTATAATCTGTGAGGATGATACCACTCTCAGACAACACTCCATGCCCAAGAAGAGAACAGTTGATGTTGTTCAGAAAAATAGCCATATGCATCAGAGAACAAACACAGACTGGTCAGTGGGTTCTGTTTCAGATGGAAGTATAGTCGACTCACCAAACAGCCCCGAGGAAAATTTACCAAGGGACAGGTCAACAGAGGCTTCAGATAGATCCAATGAAAAACTTGTAAGAGAAATTTCTATGTTGGAAAGGCAGGTAGCAGTATCAGAACTGGAATTACAGTCGCTTCGGAGGCAAGTTGTGAAGGAAAGCAAAAGGGGACAGGACCTAACGAGACAAATTGTTAGCCTGAAAGAAGAGAAAGATGTGCTTCAAACAGAATCTGAACAACTTAAGTCTTTGCTGAAATGCAGGGGTGATGTAGAAGTTTCAAATCAATTGCAAATGGAGATCGAAAATTTAAATGCTATATTAGAAGAAATTAGGCAAGAGCTTAATCATGAGAAAGACTCAAATACCACTATGAGAATGCAGCTGCAGAAGACTGAAGAATCAAACTCTGAATTGATTCTTGCAGTAAGAGACCTTGATGAAATGTTGGAGCAAAAGAACAGGGAAATAGTTGATCTCTCAGCCATAATAGAAGCCTGTAAGAATGAAAGGGAGGCTTCCAAAGAAGTTTCAGATTGCAACAATGAAGCCAATGAAATAGACATGCTCAAGCAGATGATCACAGACCTTTACGGTGAAATAGAGGTCTACAGGAAAGACAGAGAAGAGCTAAAGATGCATATGGAACAGCTTGCTGTGGACTATGAGATTGTAAAACAAAAAAACCATGTTACCTCTCAGAAGTTGGAGCAAAACGAAATAGAACAGATGAAGATGCAGAATGAATGCTCAGACTATTTGGCAACTATAAAAGAGTTCAAACTCCAGATAGAGAGGTTACAGAAAGAAATCAAGAAGCAGGCATTAGAAATATCAGAATCGTCAAACACAATTAATGAGCTTGAAACTCAGGTAAAAAGCTTGGAGAAAGAACTGGAAAAGCAGGCACAAGGATTTGAGGATGATTTAGAAGGCATAACACTTGCCAAAATTGAGCAGGAACAGAGGGCGATCCAAGCAGAGGAGGCCTTGAGAAAGACAAGGTCAAACAATGCTATTGCGGCTGAGCAAATTCAGGAGGAATTCAGAAGGCTTTCTGTTACAATGACATCTAAGTTTGACGAGAATGAGAAGCTGACCATGAAAGCAGTTACAGAAGCTAATGATCTGCACCAGCAGAAAAGTGCTGTAGAAGAAATGCTCCAGAAAGCTAATGAAGAACTAGACTTGATGAAAGAGCAGTACGAAGTAAAACTTCAAGAGCTTTCAGACCAGAAAGATCTGAAATCAAAACAAATAGAGCAGATGTCGCAGGAACTCAAGGAAAAGTGCATGCAAATTGAAAAGCTTAAAAAACAAGATGAAGAAATGCACCAGTCTTTCTCAATTGAAATCAAAAAACTCAAAAGTGAGAAAGGCAGGCTCAAAACAAAGAATGGCTTCTCTGAAGAAGCAGAGCATAAACAAAAATTGAGAGGTGAACCAGAGATGCAGCAAAGATGGAGTAAAGAAAGAGAAGAACTAAAGAGAGAATTTGATTCAGCAAGAAAGGAAGCTCAAAAACTACAGAAGGAAACAAATACTTTGAGGTCTTTGAAGGATGAAAAGGAGACAATGGTTAGGATTCTGCAGTCAGACATACAAAAGCTCAGAGTTCAAAATAATGAATTGAAACATTGTTTGTCTGAAGAAGAGCAGGAGAAAGAAAACCTGAGGAAAGAGGTCGTTAAATTGGAGGGTGACCTACAGAAGAAGGAAGAGGCAATCATCGTTACAGGAAAGAAACTGGTCGGTGAGAAGGTTAATTTGGTTGAGGTAATCATTCAATTCTGTTGCTAAGATCAAAAGTTAAGTATATAAGAAAAGAAAATAGAGGCACAAGTGTCACTTAAAGAAGGTCTGCTGTATATGTTCTTTTATTTTCCATATTTTCATAGGTGTTCTAACAAATGTGTTAAGAAACAACAAAAATGCACGATATCTTGTATCCTATGTTAAGGTAACATGGTCTCACAAACACGTCTTCAGCTATTTTACTTATGTATAAACACTTGTGTACTGGATTGTAATGTTTAGATGGTCCTTTACCCAACCAAACAAGCTTTACCCATCTTGTGTTTACATCAGTAGTAAGAACAGCGATTATGTAATGTCTAACATGAAAGAGTAGCACATAAGGAAAACAATCTAGGAAACAAGTTTGAAAAAATAGAAAGCAGCATGGAACAACTCAATCACATTAGAAGTTTTTATGCACACAGTTCCAAGAGGTTCATGTCTCAAATATATTGACAAACATATGCACCAAGCACTGTCATTTGAACGGGCCAAAGATTGATTCATAAATCCATTCTTTTGATTTTTTTAGAGAAAGAAATTAAGAATTGTAGTTCAAAGATTAGCAGCATAGTATTTAAGAAAGAATCTTTTTAAAGACAATTTGTCAACCTGCTAGTTGCCAACTTGCCACACTGTGAAGCACAATAGTTCATAAGTTCATATATAGACAGGCAAGATTCATAAAGGGGACTTTCTCCACATTAGAAATGTTATGAGTAGATGGTTGATTACACCCCTGGAGAAACTCTTGCATGTTCAAGTTCAGTAAAATCCGACCGGATTTTATTCAATCGAAACCTTCTCAAACTTATTTTTTCTAATATGAATCAGATAGTAACTCAAGAAGCACTACCCTTTGACACAGTCTTTCAAAGTTGAATGGATTATTTTCGGTCAACACAAAACATTTTCATACTCATACCTTTTTACAGCTTTCAGAGATGAGCTCTACGCCAGGCACATTCAAAGAAAATCGAGTTGGCAAAGCGCTAGTCAAAAGGTAAGAATACGCAACTAGGTCAACCTTAACTTTACTTTATTTTAGGTTACTTCATTGTGACATTGCTTCTATGCATACATTTTTGTGGTATAATGATGTGTTCTCATGCATCCATGACAATGAATTCACTCTTGTTTTCACAGTGAAGTAGAAACTTGCTCAGGGATGAACATATCCATTTCCCAGACAATTGATGATTGCCATCCTACCCAATTGTTAAGTGAAATGGAATTACTGAAGGAAAGGAACAAATGTATGGAAGGAGAGCTGAAAGAAATGCGAGAGAGATATTCAGAGATAAGTCTCAAATTTGCAGAGGTAGAAGGTGAAAGGCAACAGCTAGTAATGACTGTACGAAACCTGAGAAACAGTAAGAAGACTAGCTTTTTCTGAGATGGTGGAAACCTGAAATGAAACTATGGAAAATATGTGCTAGCAGGGTGTGGTGAGTAATAGCTTTTTCTGAGATGGTGGAAGCCTGAAAATGAAACTACAGAAAATATGTGCTAGCAGGGTGTGGGGAGTAATGTCAAGGTTACACTAGAGTTCGGCAATGTAGCATGTACATCAGCAACACGTGTTATAACATTCTTTCATTGTGTTTATTGTTCATCTTCTCTGTAGGAAAAATAAAAAATAACCGGAGTATTTGATTAATTTAACAGAACATGATCAAGAAGCCAAGCCATGTTCCCTAAGCCAATAAGTGCACTTTGTTTCCATCACGGAGACTTTTGCATCTGTTGTGTGTGATATTCACAAATGGGGTTTTGGCCTTGCTCAAACTAGTGGGGTTGGTTGGGATGAACTATATAAGTGCCCTTTTTGACATTTTTACTAAAAAAAGTAGAGGGAAAAAAGATGTATGTTTGGGATAATTTTTTGACTTTTTACGAAAAAATGTGTATTAAAATATTGTATCAACTAGCAAAATTACCGAAGTACCCTTCTGAGCACTGACATACACTGTGCTGTGTCTGTGCACTGTGCGGCGCTATTTTTTCTTATTTTTTTTAAAAATTTCTGTGCATGTCAACAAGGCATTTTTAGTCTTTTTGCCCTCTGTATATGCTGACTGTTGGACTAAATAATTGATTAGTGAATAGTGTTAACTTTTTTGTTTTTTTAGTAATTTTTGACTTTTTGTCTATTTTAGATGATCCCAAACAAGCACTAAATGAAAACCTTGAAATCGGAACTTTTGTGGCACACAATGAAGCAAAAAATAAAATCATTAAAGCTTTGTTTGTTTCGACATAAAATATTTTACACAAAAAAATATTTTTCTTGTAAATTGATTTTACACAAAAAAAAAAATGTTTTGTTTTTGTTTTTTGGTATTTGGTTGACACTTGAAACAAAAACATTTTATTGCCTAAAAGATAAATTTTGATTCAATAAAGTGTCATTTATGACTTGTTAAGTGAGCTAAAATATTTATTTGAAAATGTTAAATGTGTTGAAAAAATAGTGATTGAGAGTCAACTGTGTAAAAATTGGCTTATGAAATTTTTAAAGGTAAGTTATTTTTTAGAAAATGATGCAAAAAATATTTTCCTTAAAAAATGTTTTACTTACTTTTTGTTCAACCAAACAAAAAAAAATGTTTTTAACAATATTTTTGACAAAAATATTTTACGTCAAAACAAACGGAGCCTAAACAAAAAAACTCAATATAACAAATTGATGATACTGATTGCTCCAGATGGAAGGGGTCAGATTGATCCACGCTTCCCAAAACATTGCCCGAGTGTTAAGCCAGCAGAGAGACCTGCACAAGAGTTCAACAGGGAATGGGGAGTCCCCCAGCGAACCCTCCAATGATCAAGTTAGAGAAGAGAGGGTGATGAAATGTAGAGATAGGATGGAGATAGAGAACTTAACCTTTTCTTTGTCTTAGAAGCCTGCTTATATCTTTTGCTCATCATTTCCTTGTCCACTTCGAGCTGCCATGTTGGCCGAAAGTCTATGTTCTAACTTGCCTTGTTCATAGTGAGGTTGTTCTGTTCCAACATGAAGGGTTATCGTAATAAATGCTACACGGAAACTCATTAATAGCTGATGTATGGTGCAATAACTCTGCAGGATCTTTGTCTGCTGCTATGGCTAGTTTTTCACTTGCCAAGTGTTTAGATGTCATTGGTGCTTGGTGTAACGTTGGGTTCCCAGAATGTTGGGCTTTAATATTTGAATCATGGATTGGGCCTTAAGTGGTGGGCCATATCCTTTATGGGCTTACCCATGTCAGTAGTCCCCCATTTTCAAGTGTAGCTTCAGTCCAATAAAGGGAATAAGGAAGAAAACAGGGGTTGTGAGAGGTCGATGGAGAGAAGACCGACTAGGAGGTGGGCCGACCGAGAGGGGTGACCGAGTAGAGAGCCGATCGTGAGAAGGGCCGACCGCGAAGGGTGACCGAGTGGAGGGATCGACTGTGAGGAGAGCCGACCACGAAGGGTGGCCAAGTGAACGGACCAACCGTGAGGAGGGCCAACCGCGAAGGGTGGCCGAGTGGACGGACCAACCGTGAGGAGGGCCGACCGCGAAGGGTGGTCGAGTGGACGGACCAACCGTGAGGAGGGCCGACCGCGAAGGGTGACCGAGTGGATGAACCGATTGTGAGGAGGGCCGACCGCGAAGGGTGACCGAGTGAGAGGGGGAAGTGGCGGGACGCGGGGCTCGAGGAGCGGCGAGGCACGTGGTGAAGTGAAGTGGAATAGACAGGGAAGGGGAAGAGAGTAGTGGATCGTGGTCGTACACATGACATGGTCCTTTAATGGGGGAGGTGACGCGTTAGCAAGAAGTGAAGAGACAGGGTGATTTAGGGTAGTGGAAAGGCAGGGGCGGGAGTTTTTCGAAATTTTTCAAACTGGCAAAATTGAATCTTGACCCTTAGAATATAGGCAAGCCGTGGGCATTTGGGGTATTCGCTTTACTTACTTTATCGCAAAAAACCAACATACCCCTGAAGTGAACTCATTTGTTTCATGTGATACGTCTCCGCGACACTTTGTGAATTCCCTTGGGCCAGCGTCCGAAGCTATACATAGACACGTAGGAGGAATGGCGTGAGATGAGGTGCCAACTATGAGACTAGACCCTTTGGGGGAAGACGACACAGTAGAGTTGGCGAAACAGTATCGGGCGGAGCGGAGGGAGGAGAGGGAAGCCGCACAAGGGGCACGGGCTCGCACAACTATGATGATCGCGGCCGTTAGGCCGATTAGCTAAGTGGAGTCGAATCATTGGCACACAAAGGCAGATAGATCTACATTTACAGTGGAGAAGTTGGAGGAGGTACGGAGGAAGTACCAGATTCCTGAGGAAATAGAGTTGAGGCTGCCCACATCGAAGGAGAGGGCGTCGGATGTACGAGCGGGAGAGTTCACCTTATACGAGGAAGCACTGCGGGGAGGTCTAAGGTTGCCGCTCCCCCAAATTGTGGTGGATGTACTTAACAAGTTGGAGGTGGCGCCAGGGCAGTTGATGCCGAACGCTTGGAAGTTACTAATGGCCTGCACGAGCGTCTGGCCGCAGGCTACCGGAGGGACGGCAATGACGGTGGAGGAGTTCTTCTCTTGCTACAAGGCTTCCGGTTGCAGGAGACGTGGGGACGGCAATGACGGTGGAGGAGTTCTTCTCTTGCTACAAGGCTTCCGGTTGCAGGAGACGTGGCTGACTCTGCAGGTAGTGGCGAGCCGAGGTCTGGTGGTGGGCCTGCCATCTTCGGTGAAGGGGTAGCGACCGAGATGGTTCTTCGTGTCAACGAACAGAGGGGCAGGAGTTCGCACAACATGGAAAGTCCCCACAAAATCGGTGGAGCCAAAGCTAGGCGTGGAGGCCGAAGACAGAGTGAAGAAGGTGAAGGAGTGGAGGGAAAAGAAGGGGGTGAAGTGGGATGAGCTAATCCTTCCTTTAACCCTATTTGCCTTGATATTGGGACCGCAGCCGATGGAGGCGGATCCAGTGAGGGAAGAGTTGGAGGCGCAGAGGAAGACGGAGGAGGCGGAAAAAAGGAGAGTGTTCGCCAAGGCGGACAATTATAAGGAGGCAAAGTTAGGGCTGGCCCCAAAACTGGTGATGAGGGAGCGGGTCCGGCCGCGCCCCAAGCCGTTGGGGGACAAAAACCAGACTGACTTTGCCCCGTTGCCACCACCTGTGGACCCGCTGAAGGAGAGGGGCAAACAAGAGGTGGAAGCAGTACTAAAGAAAACGAAGAGAAAGAGAGTGGCAGTTGAGGGCAGTAAGGACGCCCTTGTTGGAAAGTTGAAGGAGAGGAGGGCAGAGGAGGCTCCAGAAAAGGAGAAGTTGGAGGAGGGGAAGGTGAAGGAGGGCACGAAAAAGCGACCGCCCAAGTGGCTAAGGAAGACTTGGGCCTAAGTGCTCCTATGGTGCCAACGGTGGCACCTGCACTAGCAGTAACCTCAAGTCCCAGCGAGGGGAAGGCGGGGATCAGCAAGTCAGCGACGAGTGCTGCGCTGGCAACCGCCTTGTACCACGCGCGCGCGCTGGCAGGTCGTTCGGCAGAGGGAGAGGAAGCCAGGGTCGCAGCTGACCGCCTAGTTGGAGTAGTGAAAGATGTGGCGGTGCGCTCAATGGCGCGTTTAACCGAGGTCAATCTCCTGAGAGGGTTTTACTCAGCCCAAATGGAGGCAACGACACTGGCGACTGCCTTGATGAATAAGGCGGCGCGCGCTAGGGTGGAAGTAGAGCCGCTAAGGACCCAATTGGAGGGGGCAAAATCGCAACTCCAGGATCTAAGGGTGGAGACAGCGCGGTGAAGGAAGGCCGCTAAGAGTGCGTGCTCCAAGGGGTTGGAGTATGTGCAGAAGGCGAAAAGCATGGAGGTGTTGGCGCTGGTGCAGAGCTATTCGGCGGAACGAGCTAGTGCTGAGCTCCTCGCAACTAAGTCAAAGCTGGAAGCAGAGCATCGCAAGGCGATATCGCTTGAGTTCGAGTTGGCGAGCGAGAAGAGGAAACTAGCAGAAGTCCAGCAAGCCTACACCACCGCCAACGAGAGGTGGGAGGAGGCCATGACTAATAACGAAGAGCTCCGTGCCCAGGCGATCAAGGACAAAGAAATCGCTGAGTTGGAGAAGGCCCTGGCAGAGGAAAGGGCTGAATTGGCGTATGAGAGAGTAGCGTACCCCGACCTATGCAAGGCGGCGGTGGAGCAATTCAAGAAGTCCGCCGAATTCCAGATAGCCATTGATGCCGCAGTCGCCAGGAGCTTGGTGAGAGAGGGGGATAGAGGGGTTGGGCCGTTGGGAGCGGCCGCTGGGAGTAGGAGTGAAGAGGAAGTGATCCAGAGCTTTTAGCGGTCGGACTTCTACAAACATGAAATGGCTGAGTTTTAGGACAGCGACTGGATGACCTTCAAGCATAAAGCGCAAGAGTTGTTCCCAGATGTGGACTTCAGCCGCGTGAAGGTAGGAGAAGACGACGTTGCCCAGACCCCCCTGGACGAGGGGGTTATGGAGAAAGATCTGGTCTCTAGTGAGGAAGAGTGATCTATGTAAAAATTTTGTGTTTATGTGTTTTGCTTGTTTCGTTGTTGGTTTGTGTTTTTTTTTTTTTACATGTAATTTTGTGCAATTCCTGCAGCGAAGTGTATGAAATTGTACGTGTGCAAATAAAACAATGAATTTTTTAGTATTGTTGTTGTCGCTATGTCTTGTGAGTTGTAAATTTGGAAATAATGAAAATGGCAGAGCAGAATTCAATGAAAAATGGGTGTGAAATTAAGACTTGTGTGTGAATAATGAAAGTTGTTAGTAGATTGTGATGTAGAAAGTTTAAAAATGGGCAGCCAGCGTAGCTTGTGAGAAAACCATAATGCAAAAATTGTTAAAAATAGGCATACATGAAAATATTAAAGAAGTTAAAAATGAAAGACTGGCTTGGACGACTATGGACCTGGATTTTAACTAAATTGAAAGTGTAAAAT